TGTTACGGATCACTGCCATCTCACCTCTGTCTGCGTCGGTTCGAGTCTAGGATTCGGCGAATGTGGATATGTGAGAAAGCTTGCCAGTAGCCTCTCGTGGGTCAGTGGTTCTTTCCGCTGATTTCCCGGTTTCTTCCTCCACCATTAATACTGGCCGCCATGAATAGCCTATCGTGTGCTGAAAAATGGCGTTAAGCCCAACAACAACAACAACAACTTGAAAGATAACACAATAAACGCCATTACTATTAATTACTGTTTACATCAGCATCACCTTTTGCTGGATTTTTATACACAGACCACAGCAGTGCTGTATGCCATATCACATTCCTAGTGGTAAACATATATAGTGCAGACTTCTAAGGATACTTACATTTACATCCTCATCCTCACAGAGATCAAACAAAGCATTGATGGCTTGATGTGAGAGCTTCGGGAAATACTTGAAGAATCTGGCAATGAATTGTGAGGCTAGCCTCTTTTCACCAGGACCACCCTTAACAGCACTCAAAATGGACAGAAAATCTACTTCATGCTGAAAAGGAACATTTGAAATGAAATGAAGTCAAAAACCTTTGAATACTTTGCATGTTATCTTTAATCTGCATATAAAAACAACTAACTAGCCATAATGGATAGCATTTATTAATAAACTAATAGGTTAGCTATCTATTTGAGCAAGCTGAATTACATTTCAACCATATATTGTGAGGAAATTTAAACTAGACTTTTATATCTGGTCCTCAAGATATTGTTGAAGTGAATAAGGTGGAAAATTTTTAATTCTTAAGTGTGTGATAACTGAAGATATCCTGTGTGGTTGTATCCATGCATCCTTTTATTTATTAATTCTTATAAGAAAACATATAAAATTTTATCATGCTACAAAAAAACTAATCAGTCATATGAAACTAAACCTAAAAGTAATAGAAATCTAAGACATTTAATTATTTCAATACATATTCCTCATTGTGACTATTGGTGTTTGGCTATCAAGACAACCAAATAAATCATGAAAACCAATTTTTTTCAATAGTATTTAGCGAATTTCTGTACTTGTTATCCTGCACTGCAACTAAAATGGAGTAAGTGGAAGATATAGGATTAATTTATCATCTCTCTCTAGTGATAAAATGATGAATATTACATTTACAGTTCTTTATGAAATGACTTTAGGCAAATAAAAGGCCCATCAAGAGCAGTAATACCATGTTTAGTTTCTACCTTCATCTTAAACTGGTTTAGTGCTTTATACTGCATAATGCAAAATCATATACTTAAAACAAAATCGTATGAAAGTGCATATGGATCTATTTTGAGCACATTTGGCACAATAGTTTTTTTTTTAAATTTTAATATTATGTTGCAGTAATGTACCAACATATTAATTTCCTTATTTTTGTTGTATGACATGAAATTCAGTAATATTGCACTACCTGCAGTGAAAAGAATTATAATAAAAGACATCAAACATTATACAACAAATCACATTGATACTTAAGTGAAACAATATTGCACAAGGTCAAATAGTTGTCGTTGACATCGGAACACGCTATGCAAGGCCGTTATTTGGTTTGTAAGACTTAGCATTAAAACAAAAATGTGCTGTCTTACACTGAAAGACTATACATCTACTGTACAACTTTCTCCGCTGTTCACTGTTCTATTGCATTGGTTTTTTTTTTTGTTTGTTTGTTGTTTTTTTTTTGTTTGCAAGACTTAGCACTAAAACAAAAACGTATGTCTTACACTAAAAGACTATATAGCTACTGTACGACTTTCTCCCATGTTCAAACTCATTCTTGTGTTCTATTTGGGGACAAAAGTGTGAATACAAAACTTAACAATGCTATAAAAAAATCATCTCTACATAAATTAATAATAAGACTAAGTCAGAGATCTAACAGCAAAACTATACTTTTCTTCAATGCAGCCAACCACCCCCACCCCTCAAGCTAAAAAGTTTGCGGAACGCCGGAGGCTGATATGTGTAATCTGACAAGTTATTCACCTCTCCTGCTTTATCTTTAGCATCCGCCAGATTTCCAAAATTTTTGTACAGCTGCTCGACAGTCACCATGATGTAAACTTTTCGATGTCTAGCCAATATTTACAGTTGCACCTTCGCGTAACAAAACAACGGAAAACTGCGCAACGTGTATAGAATTGTCTACTTCCTCTGCGCACATGCTGTTTCCGGTAAATGCTAAAACAAAATTCTGCAGAACAGTCCGAGTGCATAAATTCGTATTCATATTTTTACTGAAAACTAGTTTGTTTTGGGATTTTTTTTTTTTTTTGTCGAAAAATATAACATGAGGTAAACAAATCATCTAAGCAGATGTGATGGCATTTTTTTCAGACGTATAGATGGAATCAGATAAAAATTACTAGTTCCGTACCCACGAATGAAGTCCCAGTCTGTGTTTAGAGAATTTTTAGTCTTTTTTTTGGTGGTGATATAAGAGTTATAGTTAGGCATTCTTGGTGTTGATTTAAAGGAAATTGTTTATTCTTTAGAATTTGAATTATTATGGTGTGATAGTCTATGTGTATTTCGACGACAGGGCACAGTGAGTAATGAGGCATTGATGGCGATCCTGTAGTGAAATCTAAACCAAGGTACGTTACTTTATTCACAGTCCAGCGTCTTCCTCCACAAAAAAAGACAAAAATGACGGATATCCTATGATAAAAATTCACCATGAGTTCATCTTTCAAAGTACTTTAGAATAAGATAAGATTTAATATCATTTGGATAAAATGGAAATTTCAGTTCTGAGTAACAAAGGTAGAGAATATATAGTAAAATTACTTGTGATCTGATTCCTGTCATGTGTTTTCAACAAATATGGTCAGGACCATAGGCATATATACCGTTACTCCTATCGTACACATATGATTGAACTCTTTCACTCGCTTTTGCATGCCAATTTTCGGTAGTTTGCACCGAAAAATGCAGTGGACATATTAGTGTCGAAATAACACTGGATATGTAAAAAGTCCTGATACTTGCTGTAACAAAAATATCATCGACTAAATGAATTGTAATCTGTGGGATTTATCTCGATGAACACATCTTAAATGTACAATAATTTTCTGATTGTCGATCTTATCAATCAAATATTGATCACCAGAAAGGAAGTATTAAAGATAAAAGAAAACAAATAATTGCTACAAAACCCTGGAAACCATTCTTCTTATGACAGACAGGGTAACGGAAACTAAAACTTATTATAAAACCCTAAAACGATGCAAACAACTCTGTCTTTCGGCTCAAAGCCTCAACATATGTGACATAAAGAAAGTGAAACCAACAATTTAAGTCAAATCAACAAGCAATATTTTCCTACAATGCGATATAAATTAAACATTTATAACAGTGAACGGAATCGACAGCGAAGCGCTAAAGATGAAAACAATTTGAGACTATTCAACAACCACAAAAGTTTGAAAATTCCTGTTCGGATCGAGTTTAGTACATCGGCGGAATTACTTTAAAAACTTAGACAAAATTCGACATATATTTAACAATCTAATGATGAGTTTGGCATGGTCGATGGAGTAGTAATTCTTCCTAAGAATCACGATTCACGTTTTTCGGTCGGCTGCTGACGCAAATTGTTATCGCTAAAACGTACCCCTGTAACAAACTAACAGCATCAAAATCAGATATGCTTACTTAGTACCATGCAGTGGCCTATACAGAGAAAAACACTGCACCATCACGGAAACGATTATTGCCAACCAGTAGAAAATCGGACGAAGTAAAATAATGGAAAGAAGCAGACGTCATAGTAAAACAAGTATGTATTTCGAAAGAAACAATGTGTGTAGCTTAGAAACTTCAAGACGTGCTCGCCCCTCAAGTACCGTCAAGTCTTTCACGGAGACTTCATGTTTGGAGGGATTAATTTTAGATGCTATTACTAATATATTAGGATTTCTTTAATATAAATTCTATTGTGACATATGTGACCAAGGGTTTAACAATGGGAGCAACATATCAATTACTGAGAGAGACGTCATAGTTGCTTAATGTCCAGGCCATGTGTTCCAGAAGGCCAAGAAAAGGTTAAATGCTGTCCTTACAAGCGAACGTTCGCCTAACGACATGAATGAAACAATTCCAACAACAGAAAGTTGCCTGCGAGAGCCCCGCATGTGAACATCACGTTCGTACCAATTGCAAATGGGTACACGTTTCTGCATAAAAACGACGTCGTTTTATTAGGCCAAGTTGGATCATCATTGTTATATAGATCAGTGAGTTACTAACTAAACGAAGACCAAAACATGAAAAAGAAACAGGACAATCATATGGATTTTATCTCTTTTTGCTGGTAATTTCTCAACAGACTGGAATTCAGAATCCTAACTTTTGTGTGGCTCATCGTGCATGCAATGACAGTTTTGAGTAACGTTTATTTCATTACTGTCAGAGTTATATCTTGATTCTATGCAGACTTGAACAGATTTTTCGTGGCTCTCAAATATCTGATTTTGCTGTATGGACTTTAGAATCATTCTACGACACTGGGAGAGAAGAGTGTGTGTTTCGTTACTAGGAATGTCATAATAGTCTACAGCCTTCGCTCATAATTTCTTGGAGAATGACAGACAACTTCTTTTGAAATATTATTACCAGAAATTGAATTTACACAAGTCACTGAGAATAGAGATAAAAGACCAATGATCCGAAAGTGGAAAAAAGTAAAAATTAAATGCGAGAGAGAGAGAGAGAGAGAGAGAGAGAGAGGGAGAGTGTATGCGTTTTGGATTTTTAATTTCACTTTAGCAATTTTTTAGTCATAACGATGTCTGAAGTGTGGCAGTTTATAGTGATGTCTAGCACTGGGAAAACCTGCCGCAGACATGTAGCATCATGTCCCACCCAGTCACATTATTCTAACACCGGGCCGATCAGACTCAACCTTGACCTCTTAATGCTGAGCGCCTAGTGAGGCAGCTGCCAGTACCATTTTTATAAGTTATTGGTGTGGCTCACCTGGGGTTCGAACCCACGACCTCCCGCATCCGAGGCGGAACCTCTAACCACTACGCTACTGGAGCGGTCTACACTGCAACTTGAGGATAACATGAATTATCTGGCTTTACGTTTGAGTAGAATGCCTAAAACATTTGGAATGAAAAAAAATGTCTAAAGGCTAATGTTCACACTGATCGGTACCGAAACAAATGAACACTATGCGCTCCCGTATTTGTCTGGACTCCATTACTACAACCCGGTCGGAATGCGAACATAATATCTAGAAGATTTCTACGCTGGCAACAAACCTACTCTTCAAACACATATTTGATTTTCAAGAAAAAATGTTGAGATATTGTCCATCTGATTTTGACATGTCGCAACGTAGTTGTGGAAAATTTCGACAGACATTTCTGGATCACGGAAGTATCAAAATATTAGGAGAAAAATTTTGAGTAAAACAAAATAACATTGAAATTCTCTATAAACTATATTAAAACTAATTTTTTACTGGACATATTTTTCAGTAAATTATATTAGGATTAATGTTCACTAAAATACATAGAAATTAACTTATGTACTTTCTTATTACAACCATATTATTTTTTTTTTATAAAGATTGTGCCTTATAACTAATGCAAATTTCCCTCCCGTGTTATACATGTCTACGCTAACTCATTAAAACAACGTCCCGTGCTAAAATTCTTAAACGTTCGTCTGACTTAAGGATTCAATCGTTCATGAGACTAATAGTATATTGAATAGTCGAATTAGGACATAATAAACACACTAGCTTCTATCAGGATAGAACTCTCTTGTCTGGGACAAAATGCACGACGTGCCCGAGTGATACTGGCGCGATGCACTTGGTAAGTATGAATAGAGCCGAATCTGCCTGTATCTTCAATTCGTCGTTAGTCCCAGAATCAGAGAGAGTCTGTTTATCTTACAGGTAAGAATTTTTTGTGTTCGAAAAAGTACCTTTAAAAGTTAAAGATTTAGGTGGCAATTTTCGTAGTTTTAACACTAATAACACTATGATTGAAGTTTCCAAAACAGTCACAGTTTCAACGCATAGTCGAAGATTACGACGCGGCCGAAATTGACAATTTGAATCTACACGACAATTTGTTTGATCGGACGGATCAGTGTTACATGCTTGCTGTACGACGCCAACGAATATAAAGGAGAACAAATCAACGTGTGTGTTTCTTGTATCATTGACTGTATAAATATGCTCGATTCCCCACTGGTCATCCTGAAATTTCGACACTGCATTCACACGTCCTGAGTTTCACGAAAGTACGCAAGAATATGGCTGAATATTGACGGCTGACATTGATCGGACTGAGGTGGTAAATGATGGCATTGTACTTTATCAAAACCTTTGCTGCCAAACTATCAATTTTGCTCAACGCATGTTAAAACTCCAGTTTCCTAACGTCGACAGGTTTTAGTATGCTGCATACTCACCAGTTTTAGTGAAGATTAAATGGGAATATTCGCTACAATTTAAACCCGCATTGTCGCCAAGTGTACAGATCCATCATACAAGTTATGACGGGGGCACTTAAGATAATGACAAAAACAGCAATATTGACATTTTAAACAGTCAAAATTACAGTTAAAATTTCTTTTACACATATCCACTTATCACGCATTTGCTTTAATGGGAATAACGGTTTAGATATCAAAATTTCTCAAGTCCAAAAAGCAGTGGAATGGTGTTGACTGAGAACTTTATGTCACAGTCCGATAAATGAACATCCCAAATTTATGCTGATGCTGATGACGAAACGTGCGTATGATGTCACGTATTTGTTAAAATATTACAGTTTTGCTATATGCAAATCTTTCCGGAACACACCTGCGTACAGTTGAGATACTTACAGGTATATAGTAATAGTCATATCAGAGCAAAATTCAGAAAGCCCACATGACTGATGGTTGTCCTATTCCACGTGGATTTACAAGTCACCAGGCAGAATTTTATTCTAAAATATTATGTACATATTGCATTAAAGCTTAAAATGTACACCGATGTGTGCAGACAAGATTGTCTGCAGATATTGGCAAGTTTTAATAAATAGGCGATATCATCCCCACAACGCCAGCAATATCATTAAAGGTACGTGGATGAATAATCGACTTATTAATGCCATAGCTAACATAACAGAATTGTGTTATAATAGATATGTTGGCGATGTAAAAAAAATTAAAATGCCATGAGACCTCACCTACTCCATGCCAAAAGCTTAAGAGTACATCATTCGCCACAAGCGTAGCCGTAAGAAAATAAATGATATTTGTGACTGAAACTGAATACCGAGGAATTAATGTGTCGACTGCCACATTTGTATGAAAATATAGTTTGTTGCAACAATTGTAACACTTGGTTGTACTAAGCCTAGCAGCCACCGCAGGAAACGTTACAAAAAGAACCCGATTTTTTTTCTTATGGCGACATATACGAGTGACTTATTTGTTGAAACTGTTTGTTATTAAAATTGTTTCAATAAAATAAAATGATTTCTGTGTAAGTTTCTTTAGTATCATCTTCGAAAAATTTGCAAATACACGAACAATCCCAGAAATATAATAAAAAATACAAAATATTAGCACAGTATTTATTTCCATGATTCAAAACAAAGTCAATTAAACTGACCACTAAACGTGTACTTTGTATAAATTAATGTGTCTATTCAAATAAAACGAACTTATCGAACATCGATATTTGGACACTAGTACTAAATTTGACTTGTTTGTATTCCAGGCAAATATAAAAAAGAAAAATTAAATAAAAAGATATACCTTTGCTTAAATATTAGATTTTTAACGGTAACATTAAGAAGTATCACATATTTTTACGATTAACTGCATGTTTTATTCGAGACAACGTGTTTTAAGTAGGAGTAGTTTGTAAGGGTTAAGTCCAAACCATCAATATTACCGGATTGGTTACATGTATCCACAAATCTTCCGTGTTGTGTTTTTGCTTTTATGTTCTGGATTTGTATTATACTGAGGCCTATATTTTTACTCGTTAAGTAAGTTCCCAAAACATCATCACAAGAAAAGATGAACCTGGGATGTCTCATAAAATCAGTGTAGTAATCATCTCTGTGTTATTATTTCTTTCCTGTATACAACACCATTATCACCTGGATGCTGCAGGTAATTCATTAATTGTCAGTGAGAACAACATTAAACAAGGACTCTTTTCGTTGCTTACAATTTCCTATTGACTATAAGTCTTGTACTGTTTATAGTGCGTCTATTCTTTTTTTTTAAGGTATATGATAAGCAATACAAACCTCTGTGTTTGGCTTCATATATGTCGTTTTTTTTTATAAATATGCTGATAGTGATGTCAATGCATAATCGAACAAATTTTTTTTGCTCGATTCGCTATCATCGCAAGGCTATACTGATGGCGATGCATCTTTTTGTTGTTGTTATAAACAAAACAAGTCTAATGCATTTGTTGAATGTTGTTTGGCTTATATCTGTTGATTAATCAACTTGGGCGTTGTTGGTTTTGATTTTGTTTAAAATATCTGACTTGCAGATATCTTGAAAAAAAATAGTATTGTTCTGATTAGCAAACCAAAAGGAACATCAATACATGGTTTATCCTTTGCATATAATCAAGAAAATTATATTGTAAGCAATACTTTAGAGTAAGAAAATGAAGTGCAAGAGTTTCTGACCTTTACAGGAAGTGCATATGTAAGGGACAGCATTGCATATCAACACATGACACTATAGTTCATTCCACTCAGCATCATGAATTTCATCCTATCTGTAACTCAGTAAATGATCAGGTCTGTATCACTAAATGTAGCTAAAAGTTCCTACTTCGTAAAAAAACAAATTGGGACTTTTTACTGCATTTAATGACTCTAACCTGAACATAGTTTAAATGCTTTCATGCACTGCATAAAATGTTTTGATTTTTTTTGGCTTGGCTTGAGTGAAAACCTTTAGCTTCAGCATGGCTGAATCACATGACTTAGTCATCTATAAATGGGAACCAACAAAATCTAAACTAAGCTGGTCCCATATCAAACATACATGTGGTTATTAATTTGTTTTGAACGAGTAAATCAAAGTACAAGTGGTATAAAAAAAATAAAATCCACAACAAAGGAAAAATCTTAATAATATCAGTGATGGTTTTCAAGTGTCATTGCAGCTGAAAATGATGATGATGCAAGAAACTGAAATATGTAATTGCCTGTTGAAATGAAAACTCCTTGTTTCTTAACTTCTTTGCAGTAGTTTTTCTTCCATTCCTGAATTTTAAATATGTTCCATCAAAGGTTACAAAAGCCAATGACAAGTAATCCTTTGAAATTGGAATGTTTGTCTTCATCTGAGGTACTTTTACTGGGAACTGGCGTTGATTTATCAATATTACTTTTTAAAAGTGAACTTATAGATCACTATGCCATGCTTACAAATAAACAAATGGGTTGATATAGTCGGACTATACACTCTTCTTTCCAACCGAATCAACAGACAGGTGAGTGCATCTATTTTTAAAGGGAGCGATTTCCCTAATGTTACCGCTCACTTTATATAGCTTCATTTCCATGGTCCATTATTAGGATTGCAAATTTATGGTTTGTTTTTTTTGTCTACATACTATAGTAATTTCTAGGTGTTGATTAGATATAGAAAAAGCTGTGCTTCTATTTTCCATATTTTCATATGTTTCTGACCTACATAATTTTAAAGTTAAATCTCAAATACATAATACCTAAGCTTTGCATTCCATGAATTGTATATTTTTCTGAGTATATTTGCATGATGATTTATGAAAACAGATAATCTAATAAACTTTAAACTAGTACTTCCACACACAGTGATGTATTTCCCCGCTACTAGTTCACTTACAGCTTCAAACTAATTTTATGATGAAATAGTGTATAAGAGGCAGTTAAAATATCCAGATCACTGATTTTATACTTAAAACACAAATTCTATTTACATACTATTTTAAAGTTTAAAAACACAAATTTGTATGTTTATATCATTTAGGATAACATGCAGAAATCGGGCAGTGATAGTTGCTGTCTCA